ACGTACAGGGAGCCTTCCTTTGCTACATAGCAATCACCTTAGTGTTTTCCATCTCAGACTTTAAGATTGCACCTTAATTCACTGAGACACAGTCCATGGAAACAACAATGTATAATGGGAAAAGGTTTAGACATAGCATTGCCCAGCAAAATATAACGGCACACATGATTTTTAACAGATGTCAGTAGTCAAATTAAGTGCTCAGCAACCACATGCACCCCCTACAGCAGACAGCAGAGGTTAGGGCCAAATAAACTAGATTCAAATTCTAGCTGCTATTTATTTGCCACTCACTTGCTTTAAATTTCATGTTGTTGAAAATAACTATCTCCAAGGCAGGCATGATGGCACATGCCTGTAACCCCGTCACTTTGGAAGGCTGAGACAGGAGAATACCAAGTTCATATCCCATCTGGACAATTTAATGAGACCCTGTCTCAAAATAAAAAACTTTAAAAGGAGGCTAAAGGTATACAGCAGCTGAGCAACAATGGGTTTGATATCCAATACCATAAAAAAACTATCTCTAAATATTATTATGACAAGTAAATAAAATGGCATATTCAAATCACTTAGCACAATCTCTATATTTAGGGATACTCACTCAATGAGAATTCCCTCATCTTAATCTTCCACTCCAGAACTTGATCTAGTCCTTCTACTTTCTCTTCTAGTGCTAGTATAAACGTTAGCCTTTTCCCTGCTTACATGATGGCTCTCCCCCTTGTGTCCTAGCAGCTACAGATTTTACAGGATGGCCTTATTTCTAGAAGCCATGGACACTTTCAGTCATGATCTAAGGATGTGGTCCCAAGAAACCAAAAACACCTGTGCTGGAGAAGTGACCCTACAGTCTCTTCTCTTCCCAGCTCTCCCTGCTGCCTACTCAGCCTATATCTCTCAGCTGCTACCAGGGCTGTGGCTGCCTCAGCATCATTGTTGATGTCAACGCTTCTCAACTTAAAGAGGGATTGGCCTCAACTACTTAAAAGGTTGAACATTAGTCTGAAAAAGAATTGTCCAACATCCTTCAAAAGTGGCAAGGTTATACAAAAGAAAGACAAGAACAGTCACAGAATCAGAATCACAGAATCAACTAGAGAGACATGAAAACTAAAAATTAACTATAAGAGCTTGAGTAGGCCTTTGGCCCAGAAAAAAGACATTAGTCAAAAAAACTACAGTGAATGAGATCTATAGATTGGTTAATAATGTATCAATGTCAATTTTGTGGTCTTGATACTATGCTGTACATATACTGTTAATATGAATGGCTGGGTAGATGGGAACTCTCCAACCCTCTATGCTATTTTTGTAATTTTTCTTTATGTTCAATACTATTTCAAAAAAAAAGGTAAAATGCTTATACTGTGATTATTTGGAACTGCATTATAAAAGAGCTTCTGTCCCAATAGACTTCTTAAGTGATATATTATTGTGAAAGAGTGCTACTTACGTTAAGCCTATTGCAGTAAGGCCATCACACAGGTTAACGAAAAGTCAATTCCAAGGTATAGAAAAATCCACCTTAATCACTACTATTAGTTTGCAAATCCACTAAGACAGTATGAGGCCACCTACATACACTCAGGAATACTGAGGACTTAATTACAGCAAATCATATTTTGTATGAGCTGTAATTTTATTAAATAAACATAGCTTTTGAATTAACAATACTGCGTAACATGCTTAAACAATAGCTCCCTTGGAACCCACATTTTACAGAAAGAAAGATTTAGGAAAAGACCAAGAGATGCCAAGAACCCTTTTCCAATAGGTACCTGCTTCCCTCCCTCAAGCTGCGATGCCCTAAGTAACAGCATTAGGCAAGCAGCTCCAAACAAAACCCCAGCAATAAAAGGGATAATCTGTGCAGCCACATCACGTGTTTCGTAATGAATTCAGTCATAGATAATTGGTAAATCGAGAAAGGATTTCAACATAATATGGAAGGTGCATTGTTCATATGTTATTTTTCCTCTACATCATTATTATTATTATTATTATTATTATTATTATTATTCCTAACAGCAACTAAAGGCCAAGTACACAAGGAACAGCAAGCCAGGAAGGAATTGGCACTGTGCATTCAATCCTTCTTTCAGAAGTAACTATTACAAGGTTAACACTGATTTTTGTGTAAAAAGGTCGTACATATTATTAAATATAAGTAAATAGCATAAAACAATAATAAGAACATATACCTCTACTATCAGTATATTTCATACAAAGCCTACAACCTTTTCTCTACTTGCAACTTACTGCTCATATCCATCCCTCTGCCCTTGTGTCCATAGATAGCCTAACCCATCCTGTGTCACCTCCCATTAGGCTATCTTTACCCCTTTTAAGTATCTTTGTTTGAAATACTTAACACAAAAATGGTGAAGGTAGTTCATCTACTGTAATTTATTCATTAGAAATTTTGTCTTCTAAACTATATATTTTTATCGTGATTATTAGTGATCTAGTTACAAAGTTGCATCAACTCTACTAAGTTAAATATGAATTTGCAAACTGAAAGTTTTCCAGAAATGCATATATAATATTACAGTAGAAGTGCTATATTTCTGCCCATCTTGAATACATAAAATGCTGTCCTGCAATGTTTTTAAACATAAAAATATCATACTACTTTGCTTCCAAAGATTACTTATATACCAATAAAATGTATTAATATCAATATATAAACAAAAATATTTTATATTATCTGTAAATTGAACATTCAGATATGTATTTCTATATTTAGTCCACATTTCTTAAATAGGTAGGATATTTGAATTTAGTAATGGAAATTAGCATGTATATTAAGACCAGATTTATGTTTTTTGTAAGAAAAAAAAACATTCAGTGTTGTTTGACACAGAGCAAATGTGTCCATGAGCATTTATCAAACAAACATCAATCTTTTAAAATGATGTAGTCTAAGGGCCGGGGATGTAGCTCAGTGGCGCCATGCCTTCCTTGCAAGCACGAGGTCCTGAGTTCAATCCCCAGTGCTGGAAAAAAAAAATCTCTAGAAGAGTATATAAAGCAAAAATGGTAATAATGCTTGTTTATGGACATAAAATAATGTAGTTTATAGTTCGTATAAACTATAAGTATGTCCAGAAAGCATTTTCACCCTAAAATCACATATATACTCTCCATGCTATATATATGGACTTTATAGCATTACCTTAGGCTAAAGAAGAATTTCACATCAGATCTTCTGTTTCAACAATATTGTTTAACGATTACATGTTAAATGCTGTACCAACCCTAAAGCATTCTTTTATGCAAAGAAATCCTGCTAGCAACAGCATTATGAAAGAAAGTATATACTCTTTGTCCATGACAATGATATAGCATATAATTGACTTATAAAAAATATGGTTCACCTGGAGTAGTTACCAATTGTTATAACAACTCTAATTTGAGTGTTTTAAAAATTAATTTCTGTAATAAATATAAATTGTTTTATTATCTACCCATAAGAATAGTGTTCTCTTTTCATCATAGTCCATGATATGCTAGGATATTTTTATAGACCTGTGCAACACTGAGTTTCAAAGGGACTTTTCATACTTTTCAATTACCTATTCAAATGCACTTGCTTAGAGATAGTCATTGTGTTTCCCGTGGGAAAAAATACTGCACAATTGTCTGCTTGTAGTGTGACCTCTTTCACTTGGGTGGGTATCTGCTCCATCACCCACTAAGTGAAGATGTAACCTTGTCAAACCAAAGGCAAAAGAATAATGAGCACACAACAGGCTTAACTGGCATGGAAAAGGGTTTTGAGGAGGTTGCAGAAATAGTACTCTGAACGACAGAATAAAAGAACACTCCAAAGAGTAGGTTAATACTGAGGAAAGCACTCAAAACCTGAGAAGCATTTAATCCCCATCCCTGGAAGTCTGCCACACAAAACTCCACTCAAATGTATTTAATTCATTAGCTACTAACCAGATTCGGTTAATAGGTTTTCAAATGATTCCTGGTAGAACAGTCTTAAAGGAGATACACTTATAGAGTATGTATGAAGGAGATACATTTACAGAGTATCTAGTTCTTCAAAACGTTAGCCAAAGGTAAACAAAAAGTAGATACTGCCTTGCTTCCACCAATTATAAATCAGCATCCAACAAGAAAAATCACTGCAATTCAACAATAAGAAATACAAACTGAAAAGGTCTTCAATTAATGGTAGGCTTTCCTACCACTAAAACAAACAACAGTAATACTGCTACATTAGCTGCTACCTCAGTCCACTGACTGCCATAACAAGGAATCACATTAAAACGTTTTTATAAATAGCTGAAACCAGAAAAAAAATTAAGCAAGTTCTGTTTCAGTCTTCTCAATGTGAACTTACTTTTAAAACAAACAAAATCTCAAATCTAAACTATTCAAGCATGTACCGGGCCTGTGCATTTTATCATTGTGTCAATTATGCACACTTTGACACTCCGTTTTTACAACTAAGACAAGAATTAAATTTTTGTTCCTGACAGTAACAATATTTTAACAGAGAAACAGCGCCACCTTTTGGTCCCAAACAAAAGCCTCCACTCCCAGTCTTCTTCGCAGTTAAACTTCAGATATACATAAATGTTACTGAATTTAATATTATAATTATCTAAAATTTTTGGCTTCAGAAACTAAGAAAACATTAAGGTGAAATGAAACTTGCTTACCAAGATGCAAAACTTCAAAATATTACAAAGTAATACCAAACACACAGTTTGGATCATAAGTATAATGATTACCAATCAATATTTTATTAAGCATATTGTACCAGAATCAAGTATGTCAATCAACTGTTATATCTTTACTGCAAAAGAAAGTCTTTTTTATAGGTTGTCGCAGCTCAAAATTGATTTTTTAAAACACATTACATTGAAATTGTACTCATTAATTTTTATAATTTGCCATACAGTATTAACAGTAGGTTACCAGTTAAATCACCAAAGATACAGTCCAAATATGGTATGATTTTTACAGAACCAATTACTTACACCAATGACACAATGTCACCACGTTGAACTTGAAAATTCCTCACTTTCCAGTGGTTCAAAAGTACCACATCTGATGTCTGGCTTCCCCCAGGATTCAAAGAAGGCTAGAAAATGAGGAGAATAGACACATCTATCATTTGTATTTTTCAATCTTCATGGTTCCTTGCACTTCATAGCTTGAGTGGAGTGCAATAAAACATTTCTAATATAGTACCTTTCAATAAATTGCTGCTCTAAAATAACTGCAAATGATGAGTTTTCAAAAAGGCTCACTGGGATTCCTCATACATGAACCAGAAAAAAATAAATTACCAATACTTATTTGAAAGGAAAGTGTGCAAGATATTAAGTCTTTACAAAACTTTAGTAAAGAAGTATGGAAATCTTTCCAAAGGATTAAAAATATGGGGCAAAAATGACTCAATCCTCCCAATAGAATATTCAGAAAGGATTTATTTCCACAGTATGATGCACCATTGTTTCATCTGGGGAAAAGAGGCAATCATTTCTAATCAGCCAGTAAAACACTCAAAAAAAAAAAATACTGAGGGAACAGATACAGAGGAAAGGATAATCATTAAAAATGCAGCGATCCCCCCACCTTTTTTCCCAGTGTCAGCCTATAAGTAGCATTCATCCTGGGAATCATAAGAGTTCAGTTGAGCCTAACGATGGATGGAACAAGAATTGAGAAGCATTTGGCATAAGAATTCATCCAAAAGAAATGAGAGACCTTTACAATGCAAAGTACAGTACCCTAAAAAAGGAGATGAAAGAAGACATCAGAAAATGGAAAGATAGTCCCCGTTTTTGGCTAGACAGAACCAATGTAATCAAAATGACCATACTCCAAAAACCAATACATTGATTTCACATAATTCTAATCAAAATAACAAAGGCATTCTTCACAAATTTAGAGAAAATAATCCTCAAATTCATACGGAACCAGAAGAGACCAAGAATAGCAAAAGTAATCCTGGGTAACAAGACCAAAGCAGGAAGCATCACAATGTCAGATTTGAAGTTATATGACAAAGCTACAGTGATAAAAACAGCACAGTACTAGAGTAGCACAAAAACAGACATGTGGATCAAGGGAACAGAATAAAGGAACCAGAAAGAAAAAAAAAAAACAGTAACAGTTATCAATTTGATCTTTGACAAAGGGAAAAAAATACACTGGAGGAAACAAAGTCTCTTTAATAAATGATTCAGAGAAAATTGGATATCCACTTGCAGAAGATTGAGTCTAGACCCATTTTTCTTACTGTGTACCAAACTAATATCAAAATAGATCAAAGATCTAAATGTCAAAACAGAAAAACTTAATCTGCTGGAAGATAAAATAGGTAAAATTCTTAAAGACACAGGTATAGCTAGTCAAGGACTTTCTAAACCAAACCCTAATGGCACAAGATATGGTACCAAGAATCAACAAATGAGACTAACAAATGGGACTAAATTAAAACCCTTCTGCATAGTAAAAGAAATAAACAAGAGTGAAGAGACAACCTACAGAGTTAGGAAAAAATTTTGCCATCTACTCCTTAGAGGACTAAGATCTAGAATATATAAAGAACTCAAAAAAAATTAGCCTCCTCAAAATAAAAGAACCAATCAAAAACTGAGCAAGTGAAATTAATAGACACTTCACAGGAGAAGAAGTACAAACAGCCAATAAATAGAAGAAAATGCGTTCGACATTGCTGGCCATTGAAAACAAAATTCAAAAAATATTGACATTCCGTCTTACTCGAGAAAGAACGTTTTTTCACCAGGAATTCAATTGTTACCGGAGGCGGTTGAGTTTGAAGGGAAAAGGGAACTTTTTTGGGTTGTTGGGGGGGGGAGGGGGATGTAAACTAGTATACCCACTATGGAAATCAGTATTCCTCAAAAAAACTATTACTAGAAATTGCATTTTATCTAGCCAATCCCTTTCTAGGTATCTTCCCAAAAGACCTAAAGACATCGTATTATAGAAATACATGCATACCCATGTTTATAGGAGCATAATTCATAATAGCTAAATTTTGTTACCTGAAAGGTTTTTGGGGTTTTTTTGGTACCGGGGATGGAACTCGGGTCCTTGCGCTTGAGCAGCAGGTGGCGTAACCACTGAGCTAAATCCCCGCCCCAATAGCTAAATTTTGGAAACAGCCTAAATTCCCATCAAAAGACAAATGGATAAGGAAAGTGTGGTATTTAAACTCAATGAGAGTACTACTGTGCCATAAAGAAGGATAAACTTGAGTCATTCGTAAGTAAATGGATGCACCTTGAGACTATAATGTTAAATGAAAGAAATCAGATACACGAGTTTAAAAATCACATAGCTTCTCTTATATGAGAAATCCAAAATATAAATAAAGAGAAAAATTAAAAGATAGATAATAGGAAGTAGGATAGATAATGGGAAAGGGATCCAGAGATGGAGGGAAAGGGAAGGAGGGAAAGGAGATAAAAAAAATAAGTGAAAAGAAAGAAAAAGAAACAGATCTTTTGCAAGTGGAAAGGAGAGCAAGAGACGAAAGGAGTAGGGAGGGAAGGAAAGGGAGGGAATGTAAAAAGAACTAAGATACAATACTTTATTTTTTGATATGTTTTCCTGTTAAGTACTCATTGTTTAATATAATAAAGCTCATAAAATTAAAATTAGTAATTCATCAATAGAAAATTCTAAAGAATAATCATGGGTATTATACACCCACCACAATGCACCTTCAACACAAAATTGCCTTTATGCCCTGGGGGCTGCAGATTGTCTTCAACATAACAATCAAGACACACACAATTACAGGATCCTCTTAATCCCCACTGACAGTTTCCACTAGTTGAACTCAACCACAAGTCGTACCACACACTCACAGTGTGTTTTCTCAGGTCCAAGAAGTCATATAAGCAAATATTTCTGCCTGCAATGTTTCCCCCTCTTTCTGCCTTCCTTTCAAGTGGTTAGCTCACTTTAAACAAAAATTGAACTCCATGCAGCAACCTCATATGAATTCTTTCCTAATAGTCAATCTTCTCTCTTCCTATGCCTATCTTCAGTCACAGATGATCAAAAATCCCAAGTTCCCCATTTACTCTGAGATTAGTTCTATCATAATATATTCAAAGGTGCATTATAATTACCCCTGGTCTTTTTTACCCAGTGTCTATAAGCATCTGGGAAGATTCTTTCTTATGTCTGTATTTTTTTTTTATGTCTGTATTTTTGAGACCTGATCACTTTGAAGGTGATTAATAGATTTTAGTAGAAAGAATCAGAAACTATCAATGCATGATGGTTTCTCCAAAGTATAAATAATTTAAAGATCAAAATTAAAGATGATAGGAAACAGGGAGGTAGACTTTTTGCAGGAAGGGTATCTAGGACTAGAAGGAGCAGAGAGAGGAGGGAGGCAAAGGGAGATTAAAAAGGATTAATGTGATATGAATATGTAACTACTCCCCACGACAAATGTATTCACTACCTACTGCAAACATGTACTAATACAAAAATCTAAAAAAGAATGTGTGAAACTCCCAAAGACTCCCCAAACTCACCTGCCTAAAACAGATCTTACTCCATCCGCCCCAGCCCCCAATGCTTCTGTTTTCCCATCCTTGGCTAACAGTAACTGGTATCCTGTACACTGCAAGAGTCTGGATCCAGCTTCATTTTCTAACTCTGTTTTTGTGTCTCTCACATCAGATTCTCTGTCTGCCCAGGATGCCTTTTCCCCACTTGGAAAACTACTTATCTCTCAGACCCCAGCTCAGATGGTCACTCCTCTATGAGGGCTTTCAAAAAAGACATGATGATGACGACGACGACGATGACGACGACCACGACGACGACAACAATAACAAAAAATGTAAAACTACCCACAGTTCCCTTGTGAAAATTAGGAAATTACATCCTAGTGCTCCAGGACTGGGGAGTGAAGAAATTCCACAGACCCAAATCTTGCCACTTAGACCTACCTTTCCCTTATCTAATCACTCTTCTTTTCTATTTTTCCAAACCTAATTGTTAAAAACAAAAGGTAAGGCAATGTAAACAACAGATTTATACAGGGAGATCCCAGAAGAAAGCATGTCTAAATCTCAAATAGTAAAGTACTAAAATCATCAGTTAACAACCAGAAGACCTTTTTGATTTTACAAGGGAAGCAACAGTTTTCTTTTACCTTTCTTCTCCTCCACAAGGTAATATTAATTATACTCCATCTGTACTCCCATAGCAATTTTCCTCAACTTCAATGATAGCACACAATAGGTGTCTGCCTACTGATATGACTGTTTCACTCAAGTGTAAGCTTCCCATGTCTTACCCATTTTTGCGTGCTTAATTCAAAAAGAGTTACTATAGAATATTATTTCTGGATTTGAAAATTTAAAAGATTAAAGGACCGGGCCGGGGATTTAGCTCAGTGGTTCTGCAACCTGCCTCGCAAGCGCAAGGTCCCGAGTTTGATCCCCAGTACCAAAAAAAAGATGAAAGGACCTTAGAAGAATATCTAAGAAATACACTTTCTAAGCATTGTTCATTATCTAAACAATGAATATATTTAAGGACCTTAGAAGAATAGCCAAGAAATATACTTTCTGAGCATTGTTCATTATCTAAACAATGAATATATTTCTTTCACTGAAAGCATATCCTAGATAACTAAATATGGTAAGAAACTTTTTGCATCTCATCAAGTTAAATAAGGTAAGCATTAGGAAGTTTAACAGTGCTTCCATATTACCCATCATAAAATAATGGTAATCACAACAAGATAACTATATCATAATTATATTATTCATTTATGAATATGAGCAACACTTATGAAGATGAAAAACACATCATAAATAAAAAACTTGAATTGGGAAACTTTCTATGGCATAATAAAAATCAGAGTTCTTTATGTTTCAATAAAAAGTTTTATTAAAAGAAAACAAATATTTTCTTTCTGATTTTAGTAAAACCACTTTTGAGAAGAAAATAATTCACAGACTTCAAAATGACTTTAGGCAGGAAATTAAGAACATCTAAATTGGATGATGTTGTTTTAGAAAAATTAGTTAATCATGTTGGTGCTTCAAAATTTTACATCTTGCTTTTCCATGTGGG